GTTTACTGAAAACAATTCTGGTTATTGTTGTCATGTTATGTGTGCCCTAAGAAAACACCATTTTCAATGAATGCTGGGCAAACTGATTGTGCTTTTGAGTCGTTCTCGTTGTCTGACAGTCATCTTACAAAAAGGCACGTGCCTGGTTCCATTCGTGGTGTGGCTTTGTGCAAACCTTACTAGGATCGATTGGTTGTTGAGTTTGGGGGGCAGAAGTTCATTGAGCCACTCTGGATTGTGCTGGAAGGTTGTTCCTGCAGTCATTTGCCTTGTGTTGGTTCCAGGGAAGCTGCCCGGGAGTGTCGCAGGAAGAAGAAAGAATATGTCAAATGTCTTGAAAATCGTGTGGCTGTGCTTGAAAACCAAAACAAGACTCTGATTGAGGAACTCAAGGCCCTCAAAGATCTTTACTGCCATAAAGCAGAGTAACTGTCTTTGACTTGGACCTTGTTTACTGTGAACTCTAATCAAGGCAGGAGATGGAGCAGTTCTCCTAATTGCCATGTGGACTTTTATGGAAGGGACCCTTGTGACCCCTTAAGAATCCAGTTTGGCTTAGTGTTTGAAATTGAATTGGGAGTGTCGCTCCAAGATTTGGAACGCAACCGTGATCGTATTTACCAAGCTTACTTCAATCTGTTTGTCAATAGCATGCAAAAAATGTTTTGTTTGCCCTTTTGCTTCTGCTCTTTTCAGGGAAGCTGCGAAAGAATGTCGACGTCGAAAGAAAGAATATGTCAAATGTCTGGAGAGTCGAGTGGCAGTGCTGGAAGTCCAGAACAAGAAGCTTATAGAGGAGCTTGAAACCTTGAAAGACATTTGCTCTCCCAAAACAGATTAGTAGAAATATTTAACTATGAACTGATTACAACATGTACAGTTACTTTTGAAGGCAATACAATATATAGCCGGCAAGAATTATGGCTTTTTTTCCTTTTTATCATTCATCTAGTCTCTAATCGCTAACATTCCTAAAATGCTTCACTGTAAGTAGTTAAGTCTTAGCTATAACTGCAATTTTTTTAAAAGAGACAAACTGTAAAAAAAAAAATATATATATGTAACAAATTCTTAAAAAATGCGATTATTTGTAAGACCCATTCCGATGCCACCCATTTGCAGTTCCCAACCTCTGTGTCATGAATAGTGTCCTATGCAATAAAATTTTGTGCAGGTCTTTCAAAATCATTTTAGGAAAGGATGATCAAAAATAATGCATCCAGCAGGACAATAAAAGTAAACCACAAAACATACCTCAGGAAAGAATTGAAAGAAAGGATAGCTAATGACATGCCTATATGAGAATAATAGCCTAGAGATGAATTTATGGCATTCGCGGATTTTTATATTCGTTGTTTTGTAAAGAAAAGATTGTATTGCTGTCCTTGAATGCCACGGTTGAAGAGAGTTTTTAATAGAACCATGTTGGTTGCCCTTTGGAGTGTTCGGTGCTCATTTAAATATCTGAACATTTGCTACAGTTTTTAACTCTATTGTGTAATATAAAAGATCTTTGCAGAAGTTCTTAGTGTCAGTTTGGTATTACCTAACGGAGGGGACAAATCTGGCATGAGTTAAAAGCCTATTAGAATCGTATCGCGTACCTTCAAGGGTACAAACTGATTTCTATACCGGCTCGTGATCCTTGCAGATGCTTTCTTTGCCGTATCAGGAGGACGGCCTAGAGCTTTGCACACAGCAGAGCACAGCAGTGATCAGAGATGCAGCCTTGGAAACGGACTAGGCCTTTCTGTAGGTGGTCTGGAGATCTCCTGCCCACAGGGATTTTAAAGTAAAAACGAAAACAACGCAAAATTTTATTTTTCATTTCAGAACAGCTTGAAGTCCACATTAGATCAGATACTCTCCTGCCAGCACATTCAGATGGAGTTCATTACAATCGAGACAGTGATGTCGTTACTGGTACCTACATCTCATCCTGTTTTATAATAAAGAGCTTCAAGGTATAAGCCCGAAGCCCTAACCACATGACGCTCTATCACCTCTCGGTCACTAACATTTCTTGAGTGCCTACTGTGTGCCGGACGCGGTTCTACTTCCTACTGTAACTTCTGCTTTGTTAAGAACGCCCTCT